CCTGGTTGGGGCTGTGAGACCCCCGGTTTGGGGGCTCAAGGGGGTGTGAGACCCCCAGTTTGGGGGCTCGAGGGAGTGTGAGACACCTGGTTGGGGCTGTGAGACCCCCGGTTTGGGGGCTCAAGGGGGTGTGGGACACCTGTTTTGGGGGCTCAAGGGGGTGCGAGACCCCTGTTTTGGGGGCTCGAGGGGGTGTGGGACACCTGGTTTGGGGCTCGAGAGGGTGTGGGACACCTGGTTTGGGGCTCGAGAGGGTGTGGGACCCCTGGTTGGGGCTGTGAGACCCCCGGTTTGGGGCTCAAGGGGGTGCGAGACCCCTGGCTGGCGCTCTGAGACCCCCGGTTTGGGGGCCCGAGGGGGTGTGAGACCCCCGGTTTGGGGGCTCGAGGGGGTGTGGGACTCCCGGTTGGGGCTGTGAGACCCCCGGTTTGGGGCTCGAGGGGGTGTGAGACCCCTGGTTGGGGCTGTGAGACCCCCGGTTTGGGGGCTCAAGGGGGTGTGGGACCCCCGGTTGGGGCTGTGAGACCCCCGGTTTGGGGGCCCAAGGGGCTGTGAGACCCCCAGTTTGGGGGCTCGAGGGGTTGTGGGACCCCTGTTTTGGGGGCTCGAGGGGGTGTGGGACCCCCGGTTTGGGGGCTCAAGGGGGTGCGAGACCCCTGTTTTGGGGGCTCGAGGGGGTGTGGGACCCCTGGTTGGGGCTGTGAGACCCCCGGTTTGGGGGCTCGAGGGGGTGTGAGACCCCTGGTTGGGGCTGTGAGACCCCCGGTTTGGGGCTCGAGGGGGTGTGAGACCCCCGGTTGGGGCTGTGAGACCCCCGGTTTGGGGGCTCAAGGGGGTGTGGGACCCCCGGTTGGGGCTGTGAGACCCCCGGTCTGGGCCTGGCTGCTGCCCAGCTCCAGGATGTCTGTGGCTGCTGAGGGGTCCTGGAGAGTGGGGAGGGGGCACAGGGGGTTCAGAGGGGGTCAGGGGTGTCAATGGGGGTGTTGGGGAGCTCAGGGGGGTGTCAGACCCCAGACTGGGGTTGTGAGACCCCCAGTTGGGGCTGTAGGAAGCCAGGGAGGGGCTGTGGCACAAGCCCAGGTAGTGGATGGGGGGGTTTGAGTGACCCCAAGGGGATTTGGGGTTGTTCCCAAGGGGGTCTGGGGGTGTTCCCAATGGGGTTTGGGTGTTCCCAGGGGTTTGGGTGACCCCAAGGGGGTCTGGGGGTGTTCCCAATGGGGTTTGGGTGTTCCCAGGGGGGTTTGGGTGACCCCCAGGGGTCTCTGGACATTCCCAGCAGCGGTCACTCACCGCTGCAGGATCGGGGGGGGTTTGGGGGTGTTCCCAAAGGAGTTTGGGTGTTCCCAGGGGGGTTTGGATGTTTCCAGGGGGGTTTGGGTGACCCCAACGGGTCTCTGGACATTCCCAGCAGCGGTCACTCACCGCTGCAGGATCAGGGGGGGGTTCGGCTGCCGTGCCCCCGGGTAGTGGACGTGGATGGTGTGGCCGGCGTTGGCCGTGAGCTGCCGCAGCGTGCGCTGGCTCCGGCCCAGCCCCTGGGCCAGGCGGGCGCCCCCCGGGCCGGCCCCCAGCCCCAGCCCCCCGTGCTCCGCGTGCCGCACCAGCAGAGGGTGGCTGGCAGGGATGTTCCCGGGGGACGGCGGGATGTCAGCTGGGAAGGGGAAAAATGGGGAGTCAGACACCCCAAAAACCACGGGGAGGGGGAAAATGAGGGGTCAGATATTCCAAAAACCACGGGGAGGGGGAAAATGAGGGGTCAGATATTCCAAAAACAACAGGGAGGGGGAAAACGGGGAGTCAGATATTCCAAAAACAACAGGGAGGGGGAAAACGGGGAGTCAGATACCACAAAAACAACAGGGAGGGGGAAAATGGGGAATCAGATACCCCAAAAACCACGGGGAGGGGGAAAACGGGGAGTCAGATACCCCAAAAACAACAGGGAGGGGGAAAACGGGGAGTCAGACACCCCAAAAACAACAGGGAGGGGGAAAACGAGGGGTCAGACACCCAAAAACCATGGGGAGGGGGAAAATGAGGGGTCAGATACCCCAAAAATCACGGGGAGGGGGAAAACGGGGAGTCAGACACCCCAAAAACCACGGGGAGGGGGAAAACGGGGGGTCAGATACCCCAAAAACCACAGAGGAGGAATTGGGAAACACCTCAAAAACCACAGGGAGAAATTAAGAGTCAAGGAGGGTCAGACACCCCAAAAACCACAGGGAGGAATTTGGAAAACACCCCAAAAACCACAGAGAGGAACTGGGGGTCAGGGGGTGAGAACACCCCAAAAACCACCGGGAGACACAACTGGGGGGCTGGGGGGAGGCTGTGACCCTTTCCTGACCCCCCCAAGGTGACAAATGGGGTGAAGACACCCCATTTTTTTATCTCCCAGTGCCCCCCAGTCCCCTCCTGGTCTATCCCAGTTCCCTCCCAGTCCCTCCCAGTGCACCCCAGTCCCCTCCCAGTTCCCTCCCAGTCTCCCCCAGTCCCCTCCCAGTCCCTCCCAGTGCCCCCCAGTCCCCTCCCAGTCCCTCCCAGTCCCCTCCCAGTTCCCTCCCAGTGCCCCCCAGTCCCCTCACAGTCTCTCCCAGCACCCCCCAGTCCCCTCCCGGTCTCTCCCAGTCCCTCCCAGTGCACCCCAGTCCCCTCCCGGTCTCTCCCAGTCTCTCCCAGTCCCCTCCCAGTCTCTCCCAGTCCCCCCCAGTCCCTCCCAGTGCCCCCCAGTGCCATACTGGGGCTGGAGAACATGTTGTCGAACTCGATGATGAGGTCGTCGTCGCGGTCAAAGCGCTCGAAGCGCACGAGGGGCGAGGCGTTCATGTCGGGGTAATCCTCGTCCAGCTCCATCTCCGAGCCATCATCGTCATCCTCCTCCTCCTCACCTTCCTCACCCTCCTCATCGTCCTGGCAGGGTCCGACAGGGGGTCAGCAGGCCCCAGATTGGGGAGTTTTGGCCCAAAACAGCCCACCCTGATCCAAAACTAGGGCATTTTGCCCCAAAACAGCAATCCTGACCCAAAATTGGGGGTACCCTGACTCAAAATAGCACCCCCTGATCCCAAACTGGGGGCATCTTGACCCAAAACAGGGCACCAAACCCCAAATGACACCCCCTGACCCTCAAAGTGGGGGTTCCCTGACCCTAAATGACCCAAAAAGACACGTCCTGACCCAAAACAGGGCACCCTGACCCAAAATATCACCCCCTGACCAAAAACAGCAAGCCTTGACCCAGACCTGGGGGCACTTTGACCCAAAACCAGGCACCCCAACCCCAAAACAGAGCTCCTGACCCCCAATATTGGAGGACCCCGACCCCAAATGGCCCAAAGGACCCCCCAGACCAAAACCTGGGGGCACTTTGACCCAAAACAGAGCATCCCACCCCAAAACAGGGGCACAGCTACAGAGAAGACCCTGTTACTTAGGGGGGACCCTTGAGGGTGATCCCAATGTTTTGGGGGCACCCCTGAGTTTTGGGAGGCCCCTCAGCGCTTTAACCCCACCTGATCATCCTCATCCTCTTCTTCCTCCTCCTCCTCCTCGTCCTGGCTGTCATCCTCATCCTCGTTGCTGCCGCTGCTGTCCTCCTCCTGCGTGTGCTCCTCCTCATCCTCGGGGTCCAGGATGTTCATGGAATCTGTGGGGAGGGGTCAGGGGGGTCTGTAAAACTCCGAGACCCCCCAGGGACACCCCCAAATCCCCGATCCAAATTTCCCCCATGATCTCACAGGGAGCCCAACACGCCCAGGCCGCTCCAGCCTGGCAGCCCTCCCCGAGCCCTGGGGTGCTTCCAGTTCCTCCCAAACCCCAAAACCCCAAAAGCCCAAAAGCCCAAAAGCCCAAAGGCCCAAAGGCCCAAAGGCCCGCGCCCACCTTCGCGGTTGGCCTGCAGCGTGGAGGCCTGGCTGAGGTTGGACGGAGCCTCGTCCATCAGGACGTCCTCCTGCGACTCGTCCTCGGCCGAGCGGCTCACTGGGGACAGGGGACACGGCCAGGGGTCAGCCTGATGGCCAGGGGTCACCCTGATGGCCAGGGGGTCAGCCTGATGGCCAGGGGTCACCCTGATGGCCAAGGGGTCACCCTGATGGCCAGGAGTCACCCTGATGTCCTGAGAGTCACCCTCATGGCCAGGGGACAGCCTGATGTCCTAAGAGTCACCCTGATGGCCAGGGGTCAGCCTGATGGCCAAGGGGTCACCCTGATGGCCAGGGGGTCACCCTGATGGCCAGGGGTCACCCTGATGGCCAGGGGGTCACCCTGATGGCCAAGGGTGTCACTCTGATGTCCTGAGAGTCACCCTGATGGCCAAGGGGTCACCCTGATGGCCAGGGGGTCACCCTAAATTCCAGGGTCACCCTAATGTCCTGGGAGTGACCCCTATGTCCTGGGGGAACCCCACCCCAGTGTCCAGTGGTCACTCTGCTGCCCAGTGGTCACTCTGCTGCCCAGTGGTCACTCTGCTGCCCAATGGTCACTCTGCTGCCCAGTGGTCACTCTGCTGCCCAATGGTCACTCTGCTGCCCAGTGGTCACTCTGCTGCCCACTGGTCACCCAGCTGCCCAGCGGTCACTCTGCTGCCCAATGGTCACTCTGCTGCCCAGTGGTCACCCTGCTGCCCAGTGGTCACCCTGCTGCCCAATGGTCACTCTGCTGCCCAGCGGTCACTCTGCTGCCCAGCGGTCACTCTGCTGCCCAGTGGTCACTCTGCTGCCCAGCGGTCACTCTGCTGCCCAGCGGTCACTCTGCTGCCCAGTGGTCACCCTGCTGCCCAGTGGTCACCCTGTCCCTCACCGATGATGGTGCTGTTGCCGTCGGCGCCGTCCCGCTCCAGCAGCTCGTCAATGAGATCCTCCAGCTCGTTCTCCACCTGGAGGGGGGCACAGGAGGGGTTTGGGGGTGCTGGGGGGGACTTGGGGGTCTCGGGGGAATTGGGGAGGGGTCCCTGACCTGCATCTCCTGGGTGGTGAGCCCCTCGGGCTGCCCGGCCAGCACCACCGTGTCCCCCTCGGCCTCGCCGTCCATGTCCCCGTCGGCCGCCTCGGCCTGCGCCGCCTCCGCGTCCTCCTCGGGGGGCTCGGGGTCCCCGGGGTCCCCTGGGGGGCACAGGGGTCGTGGGGTGTCATGGGGGACAGGAGGGTCCCCTGGGGGGCAGAGGGGTTGTGGGGGGGACAGGAGGGTCCCCTGGGGGTCATGGGGTGTGGGGGCACCACTGGTGGTGTGGCCATGGGGTGACCCGGGGGTCCCAGGGGTGGCATCTCCATCAGGGGCAGCTGTGACTGACCCTGGGGCAGTGGGTGACACTGGGGGGACATGGGGTGACACCGGGGCTGTGGAGTGACACCAGGTAGCTGTGGGGTGACACTAGGGGTGTGGCTGTGGGGTGACACTGGGGCAGTGGGTGACAGTGGGGCAGTGGGTGACACCGGGGGGCCGTGGGGTGACCCGGGGGGCCGTGGGGTGACCCGGGGGTCCCAGGGGTGGCACCTCCATCAGGGGCAGCTGTGACTGACCCTGGGGCAGTGGGTGACACCGGGGCAGTGGG